AGGGGGAGCTATAGCTGTGTGTGTCGGTCGGGGTTCATCCTCGACGCCGCACACGGGATCTGCATCTGTAAGTAACGCCGTGCACGCCGTGCACGCTCGCTGCCGCCGGCCTCAGAACGAACAGGAATAAAGCGACTTTCTGAACCCGTCTGAGCTCTGAGAGAAGCCACAACACTTCCTAAAGGTTCCTAAAAACTCAACACAAAACTGTGAGACATTTAGACCAAGGGCTTGTTTTTTACACCTCAATAAGAACCAGGAAATGCACCAAAAAAGGGGGGAATCGCCGTAGCAACCAGTGAGCCAAACGTTCCATCATGGCTGCCCCTTAAAAAAAGAGGGAGTCACCATAGCAACCAGTGAGCCAAACGTTCCATCATGGCTGCCCCCTAAAAAAAGAGGGGGACTCACCATAGCAACCAGTGAGCCAAACGTTCCATCACGGCTGCCCCCTGAAAAAGGTGGGAATCGCCATAGCAACCAGTGAGCCAAACGTTCCATCATAGCAGCTCTTCTGTGTTTTTAGAATTTATGACCAAACTTGATTCCAAAAAAACCTTAAAGCCTCATACTCGGTAAAAATGGAAGCAATGTTCCCCTTAGCAGCGGCAAACGTTAGCAGCTAAGCTAATGAAGCCAGCTAGCTGCTGTTGCTGCTCCTTTATGTCCGATTAGCATCATCATGTGGACGTGAGCAAAAGCTTTTAGCTGAAACTTTTAGCTGAGTTAGTCTGTGCACGTCTCTGGTTTTGTGTATTAGCATTGTTTGCTAGCATCAGTTGCTAACTCACAACTAACTTCTGAACTGTTTCCCTCTGGGATTCACAGAGCTGGAGGTTTTATTTTTTCAAACTGTCGTAACTGCTGAAAATGATGTGGAATAGTTAAAAATTACAAAAAATTTGCTTTTAAAATACTCAATTGAAAGTTTGAATCCTCAGAAAACGGGTTTCCACAGCTGTTTCCAAACAGCTTTCTATGCTATTAAAAAGAATAATTGCCGGAATATTTGAATTTTTTAATCCCTGTCAGAGGTTAATAAGAATCATTTATTTGAGAAGAAGCTTGTTTCTGTAGCTTAAAATAAAATTCAATTCGGCAATTTTTCCTGAATCTAAGTGGAACATTAAAAGGTTTATCAGGGTTCTCCTCCTGATTGGATCTGGCTGCTCTCTGCTGCTCAGACGGGTGAAGAAGCTGGCTGAAGGTTGTCGCTTATTCCCACCGGCATTCTCCGAGTCAGAAGGAGGAGCTGCAGGATGCTGGTCCGCCTTAACTCCTAACGATGGCGCCCTAACAACGGCGCCCTAACAACGGCGCCCTAACAATGGCGCCCTAACAATGGCGCCCTAACAACGGCGCCATAACGCCTAACGACGGCGTCTGCCTGCTTACCTGCTGCTGCAGAGCCTCACTTGTCGTTATGACGAGAAAAAAATATATATTTATCCTCTGATCTTTACGTATGAATAATTGCGAAAATTTTTATAGTCAAAATTGCTGATATTGCTCATTTCCTGTTGAAATCAAAGGTTCAAATGAATGTGCCATCCATCCCAAACTGGGCTGACTCATGCACTTGGCGCCTGTTTCCGTATCGCTGCATGTCGCTAATATAATGTTTGACTATACAGCAGAACCTCTATAACAGAGTCTAACTGGTTCAAGGAGCGACTTCTGTGTTAAATATTGGTATTTTGGTTCAAATCTTCCATCAGAATACTCTGTAATTCCTAGAATTGGTTCCAAAAACCTACGATAACTCCTTAATAAATACTGCAGATAATCACACATGGCAAGAAAACAAATTACTTCTAGAAAAGAGATGGAGAAAGGAATGAATGATAAAGAAATAATCAATAAAAAGGGTTTTTATTGGCCCTTTAGCTCAGAGACTGAAGAACGGAGGTAGAGGTGGAGACTGAGATACAGGACCAGCCCTAACTCACTCTGACTTTACCACAGGAATTTTACACCAACTTAGCTTACTTATTTTTATTTATTTTTATATTTTATATATTTTTTCTATGACTTCGACGTCATACATACAGTGGGGGAAATAAGTATTTGACCCCTTGCTGATTTTGCAGGTTTGCCCACTTACAAAGAATGCAACGATCTATAACTTTAATCATATGTACATTCTAACAGTGAAAGACAGAATCCCAAAGAAAATTCCAGAAAATAACATCATATGAATTT